GATGTTTAGGCTCTTCATCAGTCTCAATTATCCTTCAGACTGGAGGGCTCTCAGGCTTATTGCCAGTCCTAATGCAATATCACAAACAATTTCCACACAACCTGGGCTTGATAAAAGACCCACATCCCTCCTGGGTTAGTTCCAGCTCCCTCCCCCTCGTGTAGCCACAGGAGTACTCCCTGGGCCTTCCTCTTTCTTCCGAGTCTCCCCTCCCACTACCTAGGTCTCCTAGCTTCTGGCCAGTCTCCCTATTTCTAGGGAGTCTTACAGACCTTTCTGATCTCTGCAACCTGTCTCTCAAGCCGTCCCCCCTTTTTCTTGAGCTTTTTATAGGGAACACCTGTTCCATACTCATCTACTTAGTGAACAGGGCTGGCTTACCCCAGGCCTCTGGCCTTTAAAGCAGTGTAACTTTAGCACCCTCATGGGTAAGATGGCATCTGCTCTGCAGGCAGCTGTGGCCAAGAGAAGGCACGTACAAGAATGCAGCAGGAAAAGTCCCTTCTACCCCTGGGGCACCTGTTCCAACCCCCCCCCCCCCCCCCCCCCCAGAGTGAACATAAACACACACACACACACCGGAAGAGTACAATGAATATAGGAAAGGAAAATATTTATTTACAGGGGGATGAGAGGAGAAAAACAACAGGGGAAAATATTAGGGGGAGCTGTAAAACAGGGTTGCATTCAACTCAAGGCCCCACAGGCCCAGTGGTACCACAGTCTGAAAGGGCAGACACCAAGCAATGCGTCTGCACACAGAGTTCAGGAGCCCTGGGCAAAGTTTGAGTCCAGTGGTGAGTCTTGGGCATTCCCGGTCATCTTCAGCACCAGTAAACTTTCCCCAACAAACCCCTCCAGTGCCCTCTTCCACTGCTTTCCCCAATTAACCGGCTAACAGCCTCCCTCCTTATTCCCAATGCAAAGTCACAAATCCCAGTACTCACGATCCCATGCAGCTCTGGGCAGCAGTGATACTGTGTCCAGCTCTGGCTTGTCCTTCTTGGGTAATTCCTCCCTGCACAGTGCTCCTCCTGACTCCTGTCCTGGGGTGTCCCTGGTCGGCCACTCTGTCCCTCCCAGGCTTCGGGCAGGATCTTGGCTGCTTCACTCTGTGAGGGCCTGCTTGCTACACACCCTCTCACACTCCCCTCTCTCTCTGCTCTCCCCCCACAGGTTGTGTGGAAATTCCCCAACCACACTTCCCTCACCCCCACCCCAGAAAAAAGATTTAAAGGGGCCATGATCTCTAAACCCCAAAGGGTTACAGGGGCATGCCACCCACTTACATGCCTAAACACAGGCACCGGCTTCCTCCAGGCCTCGGGGATAGCTCAACCCCCAACTCTGCCCCCACCCTACCCCTTCCCTCAAGCCCTCAGCCCCGCCCCGCCTCTTCCTGCCCTGTTCCACCCAGACCCCCCCCTTCTCCAAAGCCCCCACCCCTGCTCCCTCCTGCTCCACCCCTTCCTGACCAGGTCTGCCCCGTCCACGAGTGTGCCCAGTCCCTGGTCCTTCCCCACGCCCAGCACCTCCTGTACGCTATGGAACAGCTGATCGCAGCAGGCAGGAGGCACTGAGAAGAAGTGGGAGCAGTTGATTAGTGGGGCTGGGTGGTGCTAGGGGGGCGGGAGGGAGCTGGCGAACCCAGGAGTCATCGCCTATGTGCATAAATACCTTTGAGGATCTGGCCCCATGATACTCCTGCCTAGTAGCAAGAAGTAAGTCCAAAGAAATGAAAGTAGAGCTAGATGATTCTTTGTTGGCATGATGAGTATGCTATCTAAAGTTATGTCTCCTCAGACATTCATTCTCCATCCCACCCAGCCCCCCTATATGCCTGTGAATAAGACAGCAGGGATTTAAGACTTACTACCATGTATTGTAATGCAGTATGACTAGCACTTCAATTTACCTGGGTCAACCCATACCCTCTAGTCACAGTTGTACTGGAGCTCATTAACTTTGCTGTGCACTGCGCAAGGTCTTGCAGGATCAAGGTCATTACAATCACTGAGAATTGTTTTACATGATCTGGCAAATTGATTCATCTTGTTTAGTGTATTATCATTAGCACTGGCCAAGGCCAGATACATCAGAGGAAAGTATAAAGCCTGCATATTACCTTTATGTATGCAGTTAGTATTAAAATTGTTGGAAATTTCTACATGACCCCAGTTGGTGACCAACTTCTTCCTTGAAACATGAGGATTATTAGCCTTCGTAATTTTAGCTAGAGTAACTGTAAATGCTACTCTTATTTATATTATACTACATTTTTAAAATCTTACTATTCTGTTTGCCTCAATGACATCCTGCAATAGTAAATTCCAAAGGTTAATTGTACATTTTGTTTTAAAAAATTCTAATTATACATTCTAAATCTTGCTTTTTATTTCCTCAAGTATTCTATTGCTCTTGTATTACAGAAAATGTACAAAGGGGAACCTGTCTATCCTTCTCAGTATCACTCATTATTTATACTGTTTACCTTTTTCATTAGCCAAATTCTGCTTCCGTTGACTTCAGCGGGAGCAGGGTTGGGCCCCACATCTCATTTTACACTTCTCCTTCCAAACTGTATAGTCTTAGTCTTTTTAACCTCTCCCGAGCCCCCTTCTCCAGCTCCATGCCCCTAATCATTTTTGTTTCCCTTCTAAGGATCTTTTATTATGGCCTTTTTGAAATGAGATGGGAAAGGAGGCTCCACTTAGAGGCTCATGTGGTTATACTAGATACACAAAAAATGAGGAAGAAGGAACGGACGGTTTATAAATCTCTTATTTTCCCTGGTTTGTGCTTAATTACTCAAGCACAGGGAAAAAATTCTCTTAAGAAGTCTTGACAAAATTTTTCTAGCCATTATGTTGTTTCTAGCTAGGGTCAGTGTACTATATAAGGATAACTCATTTTCTAGGATAAGGACTCTCTGCAGCACATGTTAGAAAAGGTACAGTGTGATAAATATGCATCAGGTCCAGACTATGGAAGATTCTGGTGGCTAAAAGTCATTCCAGTTTATTTTTGTGAAGCTTCCTAACATGTTAAGTTTGGGCAGTTTAAGTTAATGCATGTAATGTACAGCCAAATCCTGGAGATTGCTTAGCACAAACTCAGAAAATATTCTGCATATTCATGTACATAACAGGCACAGGGCTGAGGGATAGAATCCTTAGCTCCAATGTGTCTTAGGCCATGTCTACACTACGAAAGTACTCCGATTTTACAAAAGTCGATTTTTGGGAACAGATTGTATAAGGTCGAGTGCATGCGTCCACACTAAGCACATTAATTTGGTAGTGTGCGTCCACAGTACCGTGGCAAGCATCAACATTCTGAGCAGTGCACTGTGGGTAGTTATCCCACAGTTCCCGCAGGCCCCACTGCCCATTGGAATTCTGGGCTGAGCTCCCAATTCCTGATGGGGCCAAAAATTTGTCCTGGGTGGTTGTGGTAAATGTTGTCAGTCAACCCTCCTTCCCTCTGTGAAAGCAACAGCAGACAATCATTTCGCGCCCTTTTCCCTGGATTGCCCGAGTAGACGCCATAGCACAGCAAGCATGGAGCCCGTTCAGCTCACCGCAGCAGTTATGATCATTGTAAACACCTCACGCATTATCGTGCAATTTATGCAGAATCAGCACCTGAAAAACCAGGCGAGGAGGCGACAGCAGCACCGTGATGAGGAAATGAACACAGATTTCTCTAAAACCGCGGTCCCCAGCAATTTGGAGATCATGGTGTTACTGGGGCAGGCTCATGCTGTGGAACACCGATTCTGGGCCCGGGAAACAAGCACAGAGTGGTGGGACCGCATAGTGTTGCAGGTTTGGGATGATTCCCAGTGGCTCCGGAACTTTTGCATGCGTAAGGGCACTTTGTGACTTGCTTTCCCTGCCCTCAAGCGCAAAAAGACCAAGATAAGAGCAGCCCTCACAGTTCCCAAGCAAGTGGCAATAGCCCTGTGGAAGCTTGCAACGCCAGATAGCTATCGGACAGTCAGTAATCAATTTGGAGTGGGCAAATCTACTGTGGGGGTTGCTGTGATGCAAGTAGCCAATGCAATCATTGACCTGCTGCTATCAAAGGTAGTGACTCTGGGAAATGTGCAAGTCATAGTGGATGGCTTTGCTGCAATGGGATTCCCTAACTGTGGTGGCGCTATAGACAGAACGTATATCCCTATCTTGGGACCGGACCACCAGGGCAGCCAGTACATAAACTGCAAGGGGTACTTTTCAATGGTGCTGCAAGCACTGGTGGATCACAAGGGACGTTTCACCAACATCAACGTGGGATGGCCGGGAAAGGTTCATGACGTTCGCATCTTCAGGAACTCTGGTCTGTTTAAATGGCTGCAGGAAGGGATTTACTTCCCAGACAAGAAAATAACTGTTGGGGATGTTGAAATGCCTACAATTATCCTAGGGGACCCAGCCTACCCTTAATGCCCTGGCTCATGAAGCTGTACACAGGCACCCTGGACAGTAGTAAGGAGCTGTTCAACTATAGGCTGAGCAAGTGCAGAATGGTGGTAGAGTGTGCATTTGGACATTTAAAGGGTCACTGGCGCAGTTTACTGACTCGCTCAGACCTCAGCGAAACCAATATTCCCAATGTTATTGCGGCTTGCTGTGTGCTCCACAATCTCTGTGAGAGTAAGGAGGAGAAGTTTATGGTGGGGTGGGAGGTTGAGGCAAATTTCCTGGCCACTGAATACGCGCAGCCAGACATGAGAGCGGTTAGAAGAGCACAGCAGGAAGCGCTGCACATCAGAGAAGCTTTGAAAACCAGTTTCATGACTGGCTAGTGTACTGTGTGACACTTCTGTTTGTTTCTCCTTGATGAAAACCCGCCCTCTTGATTGACTCTAAATTCCCTGTAAGCCACCCGTTTAACCGCCCTCCCCCCTTCGATCACAGCTTGCTTGCAAAGGAAATAAAGTCACTATCATTTAAAAAACATGTATTCTTTATTAATTGATTATAAAAATAGGGAGATAGCTCACAAGGTAGCCGGGGTGGGGTGTAGGAGGAGGGTAGGAAGGAAGGAAAAGGCCACTTTAAAACTTCTTGAATGACAGCCTTCTGTTGCTTGGGCTGTCCACTGGGGTGGAGTGGTTGGGTGCCTGGAGCCTTCCACACACACACACCCCTCCCCACGTTCTTGGGTATCTGGGTGAGGAGGCTATGGAAATTGGGGAGGAGGGAGGGCGGTTAAACAGGGGCTGCAGCAGCAGTCTGTGATCCTGCTGCCGTTCATGAACTTCCACCAGACGCCAGAGCATGTCCATTTGATCCCGCAGTAGCTCCAGTGTTGCCTCATGCCTCCTCTGATCTTTCTGCCACCACCTCTCCTCACGTTCATCGGCCACTTTCCTGTACTCTGCTATTGTGTCCCTCTACACATTCTGCTGAGCTCTGTCAGTGCCGGATGACTGCATGAGCTCAGAGAACATTTCATCGCACGTGCGTTTTTTCCACCGCCTTATCTGAGATAGCCTTTGGGACGGAGGAGGAAGGCTTGAAACATTTGCAGCTGCTGGAGGAAAAAAAGGGAGTGAAGTATTTAAAAAGATACATTTTACAGAACAATGGCTATACTCTTTCACGGTGAACAACACTATTCACATTACATAGCACATGTGATTTTGGTAGAAGATTGCATTTTGCATCTTATATTGAGTGCCTGCGGCTTTGGTGTTAGAGATCACACACGCAGTGGCGGGCAACAGAATTCAGCTTGCAGGCAGCCATGGTAAGCCATAGTCTTTCAGCTTCTGCAACCTTCGTAACAGCAGCGCCCTCCTCTCCCATACCAAGCAAAGCACATTGAGTTGGCCATTTAGTGTGGCGGTTTTCTTCTTAACGTGCAGCAGCAGAAACCAAACTAACCACACCCCCCCCATCCAATTCTCTGGGATGATTGCTTTACCCCTCACCCCACCTCATGGCTGGTATCAGGGAAGATCCCTGCTAGCCAAAAGCGAATAGCTCCACACCAATGCCCCCCCCCCCCCCCCACCGCGTGGCTAACTGCAGGGAGGATTTCTTTTCAGCCACAGGCAAGCAGCTCAGTAGGAACGGCCACTTCTGAATGTCCCCTTAATTAAATTCTCGTATTTCAACCAGGTTACCATGAATGATATCACTCTCTTGAGGATAAAACAGAGAGATAAAGAACAGATGTTGCTTGAATGCCAGCAAACCCCGGGACCATACGCTGCCAGGCTTTGTCATGCAATGATACCAGATTACTTGCTATTAGCATGGCGTGGTAAAGTGTCCTACCATGGAGGATGGAATAAGGCTGCTCTCCCCAGAAACCTTCTGCAAAGGCTTTTAGAGTACCTCTAGGAGAGCTTCATGGAGATGTCCCTGGAGGATTTCCGCTCCATCCCCAGACACATTAATAGACTTTTCCAGTAGCTGTACTGGCCACGAATGCATCCCAAGTCCTCAGGGCTAATTAATCATTAAAGAACACGTGCTTTTATAACAGGTATTATATTTAAAAAGGTACACTCACCAGAGGTCCCTTCTCCGGCTTCATTGGGTAGGGAGGGTATTTCATAGAAAATCAGGGTTGGAAGGGAACTCAGGAATGGTGAAGTATCAAGGAACATATGAATCTTCAGTGCATCTGTCATGTAAATATCTTGCGACACCAGCTACAACAGTTCCATGAGAACACCTGTTCTCTTTCAGGTGACATTGTGAACAAGAAGCGGGCAGCATTATCTCCTGCAATGTAAACAAACTTGTTTGTCTGAGTGATTGGCTGAACAAGAAATAGGACTGAGTGAACTTGTAGGCAGAGAGAGACCTGTTTGTCTGAGCAATTCGCTGAACAAGAAATAGGACTGAATGGACCTGTAGGCAGAGAGAGACCATGAAAGTTTTATATTGTTTTATTTTTGAATGCAGTTGTTTTTTGTACATAATTCTACATTTGTAAGTTCAACTTTCATGATAAAGAGATTGCACTTCAGTACTTGTATGAGGTGAATTGAAAAATACTATTTCTTTTGTTTTTTACAGTGCAAATATTTGTAATCAAAAGTAAATATAAAGTGATCACTGTACACTTTGTATTCTGTGTTATAATTGAAATCAATATATTTGAAAATGTTGAAAACATCCAAAAAATTTTAAATAAATGGTATGATGTTATTAACAACACAATTAATTGCAATTAATTTTTTAATCACTTGACAGCCCTAATTATTTATTATTTGTATTCTCCATGATTCCCATGTCCAGAAACAATTTCTAATACAGACCTGTTTCTTACAAAAAGACTATATTGGACTGTTCTAACTTCTAGATATAGGGGCAGTAGAGATAGGGAAGTATTAATGACATTGTACAATGCACTGGTAAGACTTTATCCTGACTACTTTGTACAATTCTGGTCACCCATGTTCAAGAAATATGAATTCAAAGTGGAACAGGTGCAGAGAAGTGCTACTAAGATGAGCAGGGGAATGGACAGCCTACTTGATGAGCGGAAACTAAAATAATTTCACTTGTTTAGCCTAAAAAAGTGAAGGCTGAGAAAGATATGATTGCTCTCTAGAAATCCATCAGAGAGTAAACACGAGGGAAAAGAGCTGTTTAAGTTAAAGAACACTGCTGTCACAAGAACAAATGGATATAAACTGGCCATAAATAAATTTAGTCTGGAAATTAGAAGATCTTTAACCATCAGCGAGGTGAGGTTCTGGAACAGCCCTACAGCAGAAGTAGTGGGGGCAAAAACCTAACTAGTCTTAAACTGGATCTTGAAAAATTTATGAACAGGATTATATGAGGGGTTGTCTACAATACCAGGGGCCTGGACTTGATGACCCAAGAGGTCCCTTCCAGCTCTGTGTTCCTAGAAAATGTTTCCCATCTATAAAGGTGACTTGCTCACTAATACACCTTATGTGAAAAATAAAATAAACAACGTACAGTGTGGTCACACTAGTTTACCTCATCCCCTGAGGCAATTTAATACAATGTGAGTGTGAAGATTCTTCTAAAACATTCAGACAAAATGACATGTTAAACTGAATGTTTAAGCTCTTAGATACCTGAAATAAACAGATACACATTAATTATGTAGTCTGCAAAAAAATTCACTAGAGTGAACACTGGGAACACACAGGAATTGTAAAGAGTGTTTTGTTATAAGGACCAGGCTTTGGCCTCCTCTTATGTGGGATTACATCAACTCCATTAATGATATCCTCACGCGATGACTGAATGAAAGAATTGTCCTAACAGTAAAAAGTAGGTGCTACAGTCATTATAATGCTCATGGTAATAGTGATGACACTGAGTCTATTAGAAATTGGACCTCAGTGGCATGAATCTTTCTGTGAGTATCCTAAGAAAGAAAGTGCAGCAATAAGCATTGTTAATCAAGATAGACCTACACGTCATACATAATTGGTAAGGGTCCAGGAAGGCTAAAAGGTTAAAATGCTTTGTTTGAATAATTATAGGATTTGAAGGATTAAGCTGAACTGAAAGATTTAAGGACATAGAAGGATTAACCAAAAAATAAAAAAGAGAGAAATAGAGTGAAGCTATGGAAGGGCGGTCAGAAAAGAAATTAAATTCAGCAAGCTATATGTATAAGAAGAATTGTTAAAAGCATTTAGAATCAAAGACTTAAAATGCAGGAAATATTCTTTCCTTCTATTCTGCTGGTTATCCAATACCTGAACATTTTAAAGAAAAAACAGATTTAGGATGATTTCCTGTTTTAAAAAAAACTATCAATATGTCAGAGGAGCTGAAAGTTCTAATTAGAAAGGGTAGACATGTCAGTTGACAATGCTTCCATCACCTCCCCAGCTTTCTCAGATCTGAAAGTCTACACTCACTGTGCATCACACTAGCTACCATTAGATATGAAACCCAGCATGTAATATGCTGGTGAAATTTACACCCACTGATGACTATCACTGGAACCTGTGCATAGAAGTAAGGTGAATCCCAATCTTTACATTATTCTACTATCGTGAACTTTTAATTTTTTTTTTAAGTTTTCAATAATTGTATTTTTAAGAGAAAATTACAGTAAAAAATTAATAACAGTGGGACTTACCTTGTCCTGAAAGGACAATTTGCAGGTTTCAGTGCTGATATATTGCCATTGTATCAACAGCAGCTTCCATACTTCATATAATATCATGCAAGGAGCATGATGTGATGATCCATATCTCATGAAGTAGGAGACCTGGCATGTTTGAATTTCAGAAGAACAAAAGAAGAACAAAAACAGAGGATATTAAGTTTGAATGGCGTCAGGCTTTATTCTGCATCCATCATGCACTTGAGCATTAATGTCAATAGAGCTATTTAAGAAAGTAAGATTTGAAGGATGAGAGCTGAAATCCCCTTGGATGCTGAAAGGCTCCCTTAAACTTTTTATTAGGTGGTAATTCAACACATACAAATTCAACAAATACAAATTCAACACATACAAATTCAACACTGCATTTTCAAAACAATGCAATACTGTGGGGGGAGGGGGGGAAAGCTTTTTCCTTATCCTTAGTTCTTTTTATATTTTTTATTATCACCTTTAAAAGAAAGAGAGGCTTGAAGGTTCATTGAGGTAATCTGCAGTAGAGAAGCTAAGGAAGAGGACAAAACAGGACAGGAAAAAGCTGAAAGGAGGAATCAATTTTTGAAACGGAGAAAGGAAATAAAAGAAACAAGAGGTGAGGAATGTAATAAATATGTAAATATATACAAAAACTAGATAAAGGGTTCAAAACATGATGTTAGGGCAGAAGAAGACAATGAGAAAACAGAAAATTTAATTTTAAATTTGTGTTCAAAATCTATATGACTTTGCAGAAAATTATATTTCTGTCAAAAAATGCATTTTCTGACAGAACACTGTTTCAAGAAAAATGTTCCAGCCAGTTCCCGATGAAGATTGACTGATTCTTTTAAATCTATCTGCTGTCTTTCCTACTGTGGGCCATGATATAGTGCTAATACATCTGTGGACTATCATCCATCCTGAGAAGATCAACTAATAGGACCAATATATTCTCTAAGCCCAGGTAGAAAAACAAACTGTATGGAGTTGAGGAGGCCTGAAAACACCAAAATGCTGCCGAACCTATTCTGCCATAACCTTCCTCAATAATCTTACCAGAAAAGAAAGATTAAAGACAGGATGATAATGGGAGACTGTCAACATCAATATTTTTTATCAAGAATCCAACAGCGACTTCTTTAAAAGAAGTTGGCATATTCATCTCCCAAATGCTTGCATTGACAATCAGTTCCAAAAATGGTTTTTGGCATCTTCCTGAGAGATCATAGGTCATAATTAGCAACTTCCTGGCATCTCCGTAAGCAGCACCAACTAAAACTATAGCAATAACTTTTCAAAAAATTGTAGACACTTGCCCACATTTCGGTCTAAAACTTTTTTTCGGTTTACCATGTCCTTTGTTCTGGCTGGTTAGTCCTGAATGAGTTTCCTAGTCATTTTTAATTGACGCAGGAGTACTTGTGGCAGTGTTAGCACCTGCATTCCCACACAAACAACCCTGCACTCTCGTAGAATCAAAATTAAGTACTCTCTCCTGGGGTCTCATTTATTAATAAAAAGGTTCTTTCAAAATTATCCTACGTTAAACCCTCAGCCTAAATATTTTCCTTGGGATTAGTCGCTCCTGTCTAACATATCTCCCTACCTGGAAACCTGGAATGGTTTTCAGGCTAACCCTATCAGCCTGTTACACTGTGGGGCCACAGGCTATGTCAAATATTTTGTTTGATTTGTGTACATTTAATGCTGGTGTTGAAAGGTGCTTGACTGACAGCCCTAACAGTAGCAAAGCAAGCTTTCTCCACTTTCCTATCAATGTGTTCACAATCCAACCTCTAAGGTTCAGAGGAGAGTGTAGTCCTCTTTCCCATTGAATCTTTGGTCTTCACCTGCATGCTAATTCTGATAGCGTTTTTGTGATTTGGATACCTGACCACTAGGAATAGGACTGAGCCTACCACTTTATTCTACATAGGTCACTGAACAGACACCAGATGGTAACAACATTCTGTCCCTATTAATCTGGGCTAGATTTGATTTGGCAATTTAGAAGTGAAAAGCTTTATCCTATTACCAATCCCCTGAATCATCCTGTCACCAACCAATGAGCTAAAGATTAAGTATTTAAGTTCCAGAGCCTCAAATACCTAATTTACTACATATTTCAGAGATCTACAGTGTAGATCTAAGATAAGGTATATCACATTATTGTCAAAACATGCTATTGCATCTGAACCCTACATCAGGAAAAATAAGAAAGGAAGTCGGGCTGGAAAAACAAGAATGCCAGTTGGCATACTGCAGCCTTACACAAATAATTGACAAAGAAAAGTTTGCAAAGGATAGAAAAATACGAGTGAAAATGGAAAATACAAGTAGGCTGTTGTGAAAAAAAGCAATGTGGAAAAACAGGGACACACTAGGACAAGGAAAATACACATTATTATGACTATAATTATAAGGCAGGAAATAGTAAGACACACACAGCATCCTAGATTTGAGAAAAAAGACTAACCAATTTATTTGAGCATTCATCGGATGAAGTGAGCTGTAGCTCACGAAAGCTTATGCTCAAATAAATTGGTTAGTCTCTAAGGTGCCACAAGTATTCCTTTTCTTTTTGCGAATACAGACTAACAGGGCTGTTACTCTGAAACCTAGATTTGAGAAAGACTCAAAACAATAATATATTATAACATTGTACATGCTCTACATCTAGGTAGAATCTCAACTGTAGAAAAATTTGCTTTCTCATTAAAATGCACTGCCACTTCCTCACTTTTACTTTTACTCATATTTGTCACACTTACCTAACTACAGGCTTTTTGCCAGAGAATCAGGCTTTTGAAAGCCTGTTTCCCAGGCCCCCAAAACTGTCTCCAAAATCACCATCAAAATCTTAAACTGTAGCCATAAGTACCACAAGTTATTTGCAGCTGTGAAAATGATGCTAAATATATAGTTCAAGCTGGCTGTGAAGGAGACAACCCTTGAGTTCTTGAGCTCCTCCATATCCAGATTCACTTACTTTAATTAAATTCATTATTTTCAAAATAGAAATATGCTTGGTGTCAATTTTTTCAAGCAGCGCAGAGAAACCTCAAGCAAATGCAACATAGTAGGGAGAAGGATTAAATAAGACAAGAAAAAAATAGGCTTTTTATTTTTCCCTTTGCTGATAGGTATGTTTATAGTCCCTTAACTATACATATATTTATTGTGTGTGTGTATACAAGTCAGTTAAATACAAGGTCTCACTGATCTATGTGGCAAGGAGAAAACTACTGTTTTGGGAGATGTTTTACTTTTATTAGTTTTATTTTTTTATTCCTTATGTGTTTTGTGCAATTGGATTTATGGTAACTAAATCATAAATCATGACTACATCGTGGCATATGAAAAATATTTGAAAGTATGCTCTGAAGGTTTGACCAGCACTTATTCAAGATTACCTGCATAACTCATTCATGCCTCTGCCACTCATAAATAATTAAATAATCCCAACCTCCTTTGATAAAACTTTTATATCACACTGTCACATCTTCTATATGTGTATATATATGTGCAGTTGTAGTAAATATTACTCTAAAGAAGATATAATAAACCATATTTTCCACTAATAATACTTTTTTAGTTGAAAAAAAACATTTTTAGAAATATATAATTAACGTTTCCCTAAACTTTTTAAATAAAAAATATTAAAAATACCCTTTTTCTACATCAAAAATTGAATTTAAAATTGGTGGGCTTTTGATTTGTGAATTTTTATTAATTTTTTATCAAAAAGTCTCATTTTTTCATTTGTCTTCCTTTTTAAAAATAGTAAATATTCAAAATTAATATTTTAATTTTGATATACATTTTTAAGAAAAAAAATCCCGTGACTAACTGACAAAAAATATTAAATGCTATTTTATTTAGACAATTAAAAAAAAGAAAACAAATAAACCAAAAAATCCAATACAATTTTTCAGTAAATGTTGATTACATCAAAAATCAAAACAAAAACATTAAAATGATTTGAAATGTTCTGTAATTCTCTTTCTTCAATCAATTCTCTAGATAACCATATAAAATTGCAAATTCACAAAGTTCAAAGAACCAAAACCAATTAACAAAGGTGGATTTTTTTAAAGAATTGTGATTGTCTTGTCCTGCTTTTGTCCTGCCTCCTGTACTTTGAATATTATATTTTGTATGTTTTCTCTTTAGATTGTAAGCTCTGTCTCTCTAGTTGTCTGCAAAACACCTAGCATGCATTTGGGTATTTTGGTTCCAATTTCGAGCTGTGGTCATGCTGAGCTCACTGCAGCTTTGGTTGGGAGGGAGCAACATCATGGATATATACCACATTTGTGGCTAGTGGATTCCAGGACTGGTCAGGAATCAGTTCAGCCCTCAGCGTAAGCTAGAGCAGCCTTTGGGCAGTCTAGAATAAACTGGAGCATAGAGCCCATTTAGCCAAATTCCTCTCCCCAGACCATATCCCAGATACACCACCTGTGGGAGTGTCAGCTACCCAGGACAAGGGCAGTCTAGCCTAGTGGTCAGAGAAGGCATCAGGAGCCAAAGCCAAAGGTCATACTGGAGGGCAGGAACTGGGTACCAGAGCTAGGAGTTGAGCCAGATTCAGTACTCAGCTATGGGTTAAACCAGAGGGCAGGAAGTGAGCAAGCAGGGTATCAAGCAAGGAGAGGTTCAAGGCACGGGCAGGACTGTGGCAAGGCTGGGGGCAAAGCAGGAACAAGGTAACACAGGAGCAGGCACAGTAGTAGGTGTGAGCATTGAGAAGGCAGTAAACTGCTGCTGCTGACTTGAGTCAGCCTACTGGTCTCTACAGCCAATCATGTGACATGGCTACTCAGGCAGCCTGCTGCAGGCCAGCTACTGATGAGGCTGCCTGGAGACTAACTCTGCTGCAGGCTCTGATTCCTGACAGGAGACAGATAGGGTAAAGGAGTTTTCAGAAAATTGTCCCATCATGTGGAAAAGTTTTTCAACAGTTCAGAACCTGGAAATCTAAAGAGAAGGAAATCCCCAGGTGTATGGAAGCAGGAACTAGATGCATGGAGAGCCAACTACTCAACAATACAGAGCTGATCTCTCTAATCACTGTCAGCATGATTCTAGTCTCCCTCAGTTTCACATCAGAGTTTAGCATCTCTTTTCATTCTTTGTACAGCGCCTAACACAGAGGGGTTCTGGTCCATGACTGGGGCTCCTATGTACTATGATAATAAAAATAATGATAAATAATACTAATTTGTGGAGGGGATGCCACAGGAGTTAATGCTGTCCCAAAAGGACTTACAGTCTACACTACACTACAAACTTTTGCTAGCATAGCTATGTCACAAGTTGTGATCCCTGATCAAAATAGCTGTGCTGGCAAAAGCCCCTAGTGTCAATGCAGTTATACTGGCAAAACTGCACTTTTGCTTATTTCACTTATTTGGAATAAGATATGCTGTCAAAAAAATAGCTTTGCCAGCATAAGCTATGATCAGACTTTGCCAGTATAGTATACTGGTATAGCTATACCAGCAAAATGTGCTTAGTGTAGACCTGGCCTCAATCAGACAAACATAGAAAATTAAGAAAACAGATAAAGGAAGGAAAAGAGAATGGAGAAATTAGGATTAAGGCAAAGAAGGTGAATCATGAAATATTGCAAATCAATCTTATAAATTCTGATTTGCTTTTTAATTGACAATGGAGTAGGGCAAGAGATACCACAAAAGTGGAAGTAAGCAGTAGAAAGTAAGGTGAAAGAAATGGGGTTTGAGGAGGTATTTGGAAAAAGAGAGTGAGGATGCTTGGTTACCAGAAGAGGAATGTCTTTCCAGGCATAGGGAGCAGCATAAAAATAGTCATCAAGTGAAATACCAAGTGGACTGGGGGTTGTTTGTGTATGTATGTCTGAAAGCAGAATTGGGCCCTAAGCAGAAGTTATAGTGCTATTACCTCTTTTGACCCCTAGGTGGTGCTGCAAAACAGCTTGTCTTCACCTGAGGTATTTGATACCAGGGTTCAGTAGCAAAAACATGATTAAATTTGGCAGCCCTGACTAAACAAACTAGTTACACTACTATCCTAAAAGCTACATACATGGTTATGTGGCTTTTTTTATTAAATAAAATAAATTGCTATTGCAAAATCTTGATTTATCTGTACATCCAATATCCTGAGTGCTGCTAATCTTTTGTATAGTTATATTTTTTTTCATTTCTGCAAAATACATACTTTATAATGACAAGTTATTTACGCATCACAACTTATTTTCAGGAAGTTAGAATTGTTTCAAATAAAATAACACTTTGTATTTTGCAGTAACGTATTTAATTCTTCTTCATGTCACTACAGTCTTTTTTTATTTCCAGTTGATGGTGGCATTATTTTGAGATATATTCTAGTAATAATACAAGAGAATATGTTGGTTGTGGGATGAAGTACAAGGTGTCTTCAGTATTCATCCACACTGACAATTATTTTTATTAGGGTAGAATTACTGTACAATTATTTCATTTCAACACATACGCCATCATGTTGCTTTTCTACAGTTTTTTCTGTTCTGGCATATGGATATGGAAGCTGTGGAATTGTTCCCTCAGATTTTAATCTGAAAGAAAAATGTCAAGTACAGTATATGCCCATAAAAACATGCTGTACTGTTTTCAAAACATGACAAATATAACATTTTTGATACATGCTCTTTAAAAGAAGTATAAAATGGGTAAGGCAGTATTCTTTAGTAGTCAGAGCACACTGCTCTGAGCCACGAGCTCTTGAGTCCTATCTGCCACTAGTTCTGCCATTGATCTACTTATCTGCCTCACAGGGGTGTTGTGAGAACTAATAAATTAATATCTGTACACTGCTTTGAAGATGTAATGCACTACATACCTGCTAAATCCACAATATTAAATAATTTTTACTGGAGAGATCCATACTTTCCTTTAACAGACATGATTTGAAAAACAGGTGGAACAGGAACAAAGTGGTGTTTTTTTAAAGGAGCAAAAGAGGCTGATGAAAAGCCCAATAAATTACACAGTAGAATTATTAAATAGGAGAGCCACAGCCTTTCCCAAAATTATATTGAATATCAGATCCACCTTATAATTTGTGATGTCCCAGCCAGAAGGAAGCATTAGATGATGAATTACCTTCCCATTCCAGTCCCACTGCATAAGGAGAGCTATCTGGTAGTGAGTTACACATACACACACTTACACTTCCTAATGTTGCTGGAGGAGGAGATTGGGCTGGCCTGTAACCTGCAAATTCAGTTCTGTTTTTTCTCAAACTGTTTGTCTTGTCCATTTAGATTGTAAAATCTTCAGGGTAAGGACTGTCTCTTACTATGTGCCAGGCACAAAGGGAATCAGATCTTGGTTGGAGCCTCTGCTACCAAGCATACATTTGTATGCTACCGTAATACAAATGAAGACAATAAAATAATAATAATTAATAATAATAAATAATAATAATAATTAATACAATACCACAGGGCCTGATAATTTTCCTGGAAGTCTCTGCAATTTCTCCAGGTACTGACAATCCCTTTATATTTTGTTTTTGTTTGATTTAATTAGCCACAAGATGTTGAGGGGAATCAATTACTGTGTTACAACAAAAATCCCTCTGGACATCACACTGTTTTCTGAGATTCTCTCTACAGCTATTAAAAAAATATACTAGGAAACATCCCTGCCACCATCATCACTACCAAACATCAAAACTTATTTAGTTGGCTTATTTTAAAAATGTATTTAGCATCCATGATGTGTTATGGACACACTTAGGGACATTGATCCCTACTTGAGAAGATCAACATCTTCAGATATGTGTTGTGCAGTCAAATAATAGCCAGACATTTTAGCAGGACCTATGGTAATATGATACTTTCCCTTCTTTTGATACTGGTTTTGCCAATATGGCACCAAATTTCTCAACATAGTACAAAGTAAGGCATTAAAAAAGGATCTGTAATAGTTTTATATGTCCAGACATCCACAACTCATGTGCTCTTAATTCAGTAAGAAAAAATTATGCATGCATCAAGACAATTTTCAGGAAGTTTACAGTTCCCCAAGTCACTTCTGAGGCTTGTGAAATGTCATCAGCTTGTGACATTGGATTGCAACATGAAAGACATTTTACACGTCATCTTGCTTTGCAACGTACCAACACAGTGTCACAAGATTATTACCTAGATTGAACACACTCAGGAAAATGATAAGCCTACCTTATGTTTAAATGCAAATAGTCTTTGAGTTATTCAAGCACCAATGTTCTTGGTCATCAAAGTTCTTAAAGCATGAAGATACATTTTTAATTTTCTCACTCAGATGACTCTGTGAAGAAAGAAAGGAACATCAGCAAACCTTCTCTTTCCAAAAATGTACTTTGAGGATCACAAGAAGCATAAGAAATTTCAACCGAAAGGATAGAATTTTGGGTTGGTTGTTTTGTTTCATTTTCTTTTTTTTTTTTTCCAGAAATCAGAATGTTTTAAGCAGGAGAGACTGAAAAGGGTCTACACTAGAAAGGGATTGCCCATGTAGTTATGGATATAGCTATACTGGCAAACTCTCCTAACCACGATGCAGCTTAAACTGGCAAAAGAGTTATTTTGCCAGTATCACTTACACCAGTAATCGAATGAAATAGTTATACCAGCAAAGTATGTTTTTTCCAAATAACTGTATTTATACCAGGGCTTTTGCCAGCATAGCTATGTCAGTTATAAGTGTAATGCCTCCCCCCCCCCCCCATACACACACACTCTGACATAACTTTGCAAGCAAAACTTTTAAGTATAGACCAAGACCTGAGTGGAATTGTGTGGGCAAAGGCCTTTATGGTGTTGTGGGGATGGTGAGTCTGGGGGGTGTTGTGGATGTGATGAAGCTGTCTGAGGGAGGCTGTGTGGAGAAAGAGAGATGGGTTCTAAAGTTGAGACTGTGGGAGTTTGTGAGGGCAATGAGCCCTATGTAGGATGTGGAGGTAGTGGGTTAAGAGGGATTGTGGGGACAAAGGGTGAAATCCTGGCCCAGTTGAAGTTAATGGCAAAATTGACATTGTCTTCAATGCAGTCAGGATTTCACACAAATGAGACTAAGGGAGTTGGTGGGGAGAAGAAGTGATTGCCTGAGAGGGTGCTGAAGTGATGAGGCTGGCTGCAAGGATTATATCTACAGAGAGAATATGGGTAGGGCTGGGTTGGAAAATGTTGAGTATTTTCCATCAAAAAATTTCACTGATTTTTTTGATGAAACAACTCAATCCCATCTCCCCTTTTCCCTTTTTTCCCCTTGGAACAGTAGGCAGGAGGAGAAAAATAAGAAGGAACAAACATTTTATATTAAAAAATTTAAAAAGTGTAGGTTCATTTTATTGAAAAATCAAAAAAATTGAAGGAAACAAAAACTTTTTGTGCAAACATTATTTCCATCAAAAAGTCATTTTTAAGCCAAAAAAATATATACATACCACTATAATTGTGGGGACAATAAGGTGGTTTTGATGGGGGTCGTGGTGGTGGGGATTGAGGGTAGTGAAACTGGGCTGTAGAGAGGGGTGGTTCAGACTGGTTAAGGGGTGCTTGTGGTGGCTGTGAGACAAAATGGGGGGAATGACTGTCTGACGGAGTTGTACACTGGCGGGCACGGGGAAGAGTTGTGGGACAGGGAGGTGGCCTGACAGAACTGTGGAAGTGGCGGGGCTGAGGCTGGGTTGTGGGGGCAGGAAAGCTCCCTGGAGGTGGGTTTGGGGGGCAGCGAGACTGAGAGGCTTGTGAGGCTAGTGATGCTGAAGGGGGTTGGCACTGAAACTCTGTGAGGGACACTAGTTCTGGGGGTGGTGAGACAGTGTAAGGTATGTTGTGGGATGGTGAGGCAGGGGACGGGGAAGAGATGGGGAGGTGATGGGATGATGGGGCCCTGACTCTGAGGGGCAGACGTGGTTGGGGTAGCAGTGAGAGCCGGGAGAGTTGGAGCGGGGGCGCTGAAGGGGGCAACTGGTAAACCTTGCAGGGCGAGGGAAGAAGGGGGACTGAGGGAGAGCTGTGGAGCGGTGGTGGGACGGGTTAGTTAGAGGCTGGTGACAATGGAGAAGTAAAATCGCGGGGTGGACGAGACCAATAGGGGGCTGGAGCGAGGCAGGGATGTTGCTTTGTCTGCGGGCTGCCCTGGGCAGCGAGGCGGGTTTACACGAGAGCACTGGTGCGCAAGGAAGAGGCTGAGGCTGCCGAGTGACGTGAGCGGCCAGTTCCCCCGGTCGCCACCAGGGGAGGCGGTTTCGTTGCGCGGTGCGAAGGCCGCCGGCTGGGAGGAGGCAGGCCTCGGTGGCCCGCCCCGGCTCTCTCCGGCCCGGCATGCAGCGCGCCGCAGTTTGAATGGCGCAGGCTCTGGGGAGTGGGCCCCGGCGCTAGGACTGCCCCGGATCAGCGCCGCTTCCTCGGCTCGGCGTAGCCCGGGCGGAGCGGTACCATGAGCAGCGGGTGAGTGGGCAGCCGGGGTCTCGGGACCGCTCTTGGTCACGGCCCTTCCTGCCTTGGGGCTGAGCCCGGGACCGCTCCCTCTGCCGGGCAGCGCGGGCGCCCCGCTCCGCAGCGGGGAGTCCCGGCCCGCAGCTCAGTCAGGGTCCCTGGCATGGATCGGCCTGGGGCGGAGGTGCTGGCGCCTCTGCGGCGGGGTTGTCCGTCATGTGTTAGACCCTGGCTGGTGCCAGGTGAGATCCATGGCGGGAGAGGCTGACAGGGACCGTCTCTCCAGCCGTATCCCTTCCGGGACAGGTGTTGCTGCTGGCGGGGGGAGGGGTGCGCTCCTCTCTCGTGACACTTCCAGGCGTGTTGTCACAGGCCTCGCAGCTCGGCCTTTCCCAGGGCGTGGGCTAGCCCCTGACAGCAGCCCTGCGCCTCTCTTTTCCTACCCGCCCGGTGCGCGACCTTGCCACCTTCCTCTCCTCGCCCGTGCTGTGCCTTTCATGCGCATTGGCTGCCCCTTGGAAGGAGACGTTACCCGTGCCATTAAGTAGATGATCAGCCCCTTCATTTTACCTGGCAGAATGTCTTCAAATAATTGTACTTCCAAATGAGCAAGATTGGGTAGATCTGCGTTTCCTAACAGGATGATGATACAAGCTCCAATTTAAAACGAGACACCAGTACTGCTGAAAAGCATATCCTGAGGTTTGCTGGTCTTTACTTTGTTCAGTGGGTGGAACTGATGTTTTATTCCTGGGGAAAAAGAAGGAAACTCTTCAGATACCTACAGACTGTTTGTGGCGGAACAGTGCATTGCTTTGCTAAAAGGAGTTTTGGTTTTCTGAGGAAAATACATGACTGTTGTGCTGGAGTCACTCAGTATATTTAGGTTTAATTACTGCTATCTGAACAAGCTTAGATAAAATACAAAGAAACGATTTAATTTGTAATGTCTGTTAACATTTTTAGCACTTCAGAAAAAAAAATATTTTCCAAAAATAATTTTTTCACTGTGATGTATGCTACTCTTTTTTAGGACTGGCTTAAATCTATATGCATTTAAAAATAGTTACATTCTTGGTTATAGATGAATTTCCCTTTTCCCTACCACTCCCCTCCTTCCATTCCTCCTGAACTCCCTGCCTTAAACAGAGAACGTGATAGCTATGGTGGGTGTTCCGTAGAAAATTAAATGTGATTTCAAAGGGAATTTGTAATTTGCTAGTCTTCTTTGTTAGAAGGAATAAATAAAAGACAGTATCAAAACTATTCCATTCAAGATAGTGCTATCTTAGGTCTAAAAAACATTGATATATAGTCTTACATGTTATGGATAGGTTCTACAAAGAATTTTATTGAATTATTAAAATGAGCATTAGTTTGCATTCCTAAACTTATATTTGAGAATATAAGAGAAGAAAGGGGGGATTTGATAGCTGCTTTCAATTACCTGAAGGGGGGTTCCAAAGAGGATGTATCTAGACCAGTGGTTCCCAAACTTGTTCCGCCGCTTGTGCAGGGAAAGCCCCTGGTGGACCGCACTAGTTTGTTTACCTACCGTGTCCGCTGGTTCAAGCCATCGCCGCTCCCAGTGGCTGCGGTTCACTGCTCCAGGCCAATGGGAGCTGTTGGAAGTAGCGGCCAGTACGTCCCTCGGCCTGCGCTACTTCCAGCAGATTCCATTGGCCTGGAGCAGCGAACCATGGCCACTGGGAGCCGCGATCAGCCAAACCTGCGGACGCAGCAGGTAAATAAACCGGCACAGCCCACCAGGGGCTTTCCCTGCACAAGCGGCGGAACAAGTTTGGGAACCACTGATCTAGACTGTTCTCAGTGGTACCAGATGACAGAACGAGGAGTAATGGTCTCAAGTTGTAGTGGGGGGAGGTTTAGGGTGGGTATTAAGAAAAACTTTTTCACTAGGAGGGTGGTGAAGCACTGGAATGGGTTACCTAGGGAGGTGGTGGAATCTCCTTCCTTAGAGGTTTTTAAGGTCACGTTTGATAGAGCCCTGGCTGGGATGATGTAGTTGGGGTTGGTCCTGCTTTGAGCAAGGGGTTGGACTAGATGACCTCCTGAGGTCCCTTCCAACCCTGATATTCTATGATTCGAGAATTGTAGTTATAATAATCATGCTTGCAGGAGGGCCAGTGAGACATGGTGCATCTATGTGTGTGTTTGTTTTTACCTAGTTGTCTTGTCTGTGTTACAGCTGAAATGAGACGATTACAAACCCTGTTGTAATGGAGACAAGCTATCAACATGGCATTTAATTAGTTTAAAAATAATGTGTTAAAAGTCTCTGTCTACTCTTTTGCTAATAATGCACTGAACAGTACCTTCTAGCCACCAAGACCTTGTCTTAGTTTAAAATCTTGTTTGTAGGGGCGTAGCATTTTATAGGCTAAGCATTCTAAAATTTTTGCCTAAAATATAAAGATCTATCCAGATCTAAATCCTGACTTCCAAACTTGGTCAGAGAGGCTGCACTGGTGACTTTGGAAATGCTAGGGACTGTGGCAACTGTGTAAATCACTTGTTGATCAAAGGGATGCCTTGTAGAGGTCAGGACCCAAATAATTAGTAGGAGGTGGCATGGATGTGTGGCTGAGCCACAGGTATAAATTTAGAGGGCTCCTGCAAGAGCTCCTTTTCAAGTAGAGAGAGCCCCTGACAAAGTGAGGGCGCATAGTAATGCAGTGAGCTGCCAAGGTAAGGAGAGTTTGGCTACATGGGGAGGAGTCCAAGGGATTTAAGAATTAGAAAGACACTAAGTCTGCAGCAAAGAAACTGACAGAAAAAAGGAAAATATACCCTAAACTTAGGCTAAATAAAAAAGCCCCATGAGTAAAGATGCAGGCAAAAGACCAGCAGCAGGGTGCAGACTACTCAGTTTATTGCACTGATCTGTCTTGTGGGCAGGAGGTATATATGAGCATGCGGTGCAAGACATTCATGGCCCTCGGATACCAAATACATGCACTGGCATATTGAAAGTGTAAGGTGGGAAACTGAGTCTCAAGTCTACCCAGTTTAGCCTTAATCAGTTTTCACCTTCATTTTCACTATTTCAGACGACAATTGTCACTTATACTCTCTGAATGTATATTTATGCCAGGTGATAAACAGATAAGACAGAATTGGCAGGAGGCCCAAGTTACTACATTCTGGGCCACTGGGAAGTTCTGTATTTCTTGATCGGTCATTGCCACCTCTGATCTTTAGCCTGGTCCTTGAGACCCATTCTTTCAGTTTCTGGTCTGGTGTTTCTCCAGTGTGGGCCTTGTTCACTTGGGTCTTAATAAATATGTAATGAGGAAATGTATAAACCTTTCTTCAGTCAGCATTAAGCATGTTAAGTGTTGTGTATTGTATGGGTTACCTAAAACAAAGTGCAAGCTTCAGTTTACACAACTGTCACTGTTTGTCATTCTGTTTCTGCATCACCCTTCTCCTGGATTTTCCCAGTAAAGGGGGCTTCTTGTCATATAGGTTTGTTTATTTTATACGTAAAATCATCTAGAACAGCATTATATTTTTCCTGTCAGCAGTAACATCATTTTAAACAAATCAGAAATTCTATTTAAAAGGAAAATTGGCAAAACAACACTTATGCCAGCAAAACTTTGGCCTAAGTGTTACCTCATTTTAAATGCATTCACTATCCATAATAGTACATTATTAAAGTGTAACTAAGTGAGCTCTTAATCACACCATTTAGCAATTCTTTATCTTTATATTTCAATATCAGAATCAGTGTGTGTGTATTATCATCCACTTTGGAGGGAGGGGAGAGGTTAAAGAGCATTCTGACCCCAAAATTTCAGTATTTTCTTTCTTTTTCATTCAAAATCCAACCTTATGTTTGTGAATAATTACAAAAAAAACCCCTTCATTAGCAATTTTCCCTGTTGCATTTTGAGGGGTACCTCTGTTTTAGGACCTTAATAATCATGGTTCCCCAAAAGGAAACCAGGGTGGCTGAAGTGGAGAAGCAAAGTGAGACAGAGGTAATGGGGGAGAGATTTTTCAGGGACATAGCAGAGTGGTCCCACCTCCTGTCCAACATCTCCTGTCCTGTTAAAGAGGATGAAAGTCTTGGGGCCGGAGAGCATCAGCTGGAGCGGAAGGAAATGATCCTATAGTTGGGACTCATTTTCCAGATGATGTCATGATATCCTCTCACACTGAGGATATCCCTCTGGGAGTAGGGACTCCAATTTTTAGGGAGAGATGGGCAATAGTGGTGGGGATTCAATTAGAAGAACTATAGATAGCTAGATTTGTGATGACCGAGAGAACCACATGATGGATTGCCTGCTGGGTGTGAAGATAGTGGATCTCACATCTAGATAGTCTTACAGGTAGTGCTGTGGACTTGTTACATGTAGATAGCAGTGACATGGAAGTATGAGAGAGAGGTCCTGGAGGCCAAATTTAGTCTCTAGGTAAGAGATTAAAGGCCAGGACCTCCATGGTAGCATTCTCTGTTTCCCCTTGCAGGGACAGTAAGACAGGCAAAACTGCAAGGTCTCAATGTGTGGATGAGACAATGGTATAGGGATGTGGCTTTATTTGGAACTGGGGAAGCAGTGGCCTGTACAGGAGGGATGGACTCAACCTAAAACAAAATAGTTTAAAAAATCCTCTACAGCATTTTTAATCTTAAGGGGTGAGGGAAAGTCAATAGCTGGAGAAAGAAAAGGAGTACTTGTGGCACCTTAGAGACTAACCAATTTATTTGAGCACGAAAGCTCATGCTCAAATAAATTGGTTAGTCTCTAAGGTGCCACAAGTACTCCTTTTCTTTTTGCGAATACAGACTAACACAGCTGTT